TCCCAACTCACAACATTTGATGATTCCATGATTCTATGACTCCATACTGACCACACACAGCCTCGCCCTGCCGCTGACCCAGGCCATGTCCCCTCCTCATTGCTACTGGTGCTGTTTTTACTGCTTTGCCTGACTGGTAAACCTTGAACTTGAAAAGTGTTCACAAGTTGTGGGGCATCTCCTTGACACTGTTGCAATGGTAAGCCCGCTCTCAAGTCCTGTTGCTTGTCATCACATGCTAAGAGAAGTAAACTTGCTGCAAATACTTTTGCTTTCATATTAAAGTGCCAGGAAAAGCAGGTACTGAAACTGCTAAACAAATGGAAAATTCCTCAAACAGCATGTCAAATGGGCAAGGTCAAAGAAACAAGGACAACTGTCCTTTCTGCAGGATTCTGGAATGATGGAAACATATAAAACTCCTGAACACCCACTAAGCCAGACCCCAGGAGCACCCCTGAACAGCAACTGCCCATCCCAAATCATGGTGAGCAGCTTCCAGAGATCCCTCTGCTGCCTGCGAGTGCAGGTCACTGAAATCCGGGATATCTAGAGCCACAGCAGCAAGTTCCTACCAGCCCGGAGAAGACGCTTGTGCTTTCTCCACCTTTAATACACGGTGGGTGCAGAGGGGTCTCCTGCCACACTGTGTGTTTGAGCAGAGACTCGCAGGCAGCACTGGGCAGCTGCCCACGTGTTCAGTGCCACAGAGACACCAAACCTGGCTATGCTGGAAAGTCCTTCTCAGGCAGATTTTCCTACTTCAGTAACGAGCTTTGCCAGGCAAATTTTGTTACAGCCTTTTGATGGCTGGATTGACTGGAGGGAGCTCACTTGTTCCCACTCTCTGGCGTACACAGACTTGAACTTGTTCAACTTTGGATGAAAAGCCATTAGGTTTGTATTTCATGCCTTCCCCACTGCTGGACTGAGTGCACTCTGGACTTCCTGAGAATAGACAGCACGTTAAAACCTGTAAGCACAAACCTTGTTGCCGTGTGGCTTCAACAATCAGAGCATTAGTGGGTTTGTGCTTATTTAATTCTCTTCAGGTTGCCTGGCACCTGACTGGCTGCAACTGCTGCTGAGAGATGGGAGAGCAGATGAAAGCTCTGCTCAGTGAGAAGCCTCAACATTTCAAGCTCAGCTTCACAGCAGCGCGCAGCAATCCATGCACGTTATTTACCATTTTCTTCTTCTGGCTGTCAGAATCCTCACTTTCAAAGTCTGGGTCATCCATAACAAATGAGAGCATCTGAGTAGCTATTGGTCCCTCTTGGTCACTGTCAGACTCCTCAGGCTTTTCCTCTTTGACCACTTTCTGCTTGAGAGCATGTCCTTTGCTTTGGGAAGTGGTCTTTGGGGCCTGGACTGCTGCTGGGGTGGCAGCAGCAGCAGCTGGCAGGCTGGTGTTGAGCTTACTGCTGTTTCTTTCGGACCCAGAACGTGGAGGTAAACTGTCAAGAGGCTTCGGGTCAGTTGCTTTGGTCACAATTGCTTCACTCTGTGGTTTCAGAGAATTTCTGGAAGACCTGAGAAGAAAGAAACAAGTTGTCAGAGCCTGTCCACGCTCCCACTCTGGGAAGCAAAGCACAACGACCAGTTAATCATAGAATCCCAGACTGGTTTGGGTTGGAAGGGACCTTAAAGATCATCCAGTTCCAACCCCCCTGCCAGCAGCAGGGACACCTTCCACTAATAGCTGACGATACCAATCCCACTGTCCATGTCACTGACAAAGATGTTGAAGAGCACTGGTCCCTTGAGGGACACCACTTGTCACTGGTTTCCACCTGGACTTTGAGCTGTTGACCACAACTCTTTGAGTGCCACCATCCAGCCAGTTCCTTATCCACAGAGTGGTCCATCCATCAAACCCACATGTTTCCAATTTAGAGACAAGGATGTCATGTGGGACGGTGTCAAATGCCTTGCACAAGTCCAGGTAGATGACATCAGTTGCTTTAGCCTTATCTACCAATGTTGTAACCCCATCATAAAAGGTCACTAATAGCTGAGCCTGCCTCAAGGGCTGCAGTGTGTACCTCAACAGGGGAGGTAGGTCCTCCCAGGGGGTGTGTGGTCAAACACATACCACTCAGAGGCTGAAGATGACCCTTGTGTCCCTGTGGATGCTGATGCACAGGTGCCTGTGCCAGTGGGTCACCCCTGCCTATCACCCACAGGATGTGGTATGTGGAGAACATGACCCAGTTGATCGTTTTCCAGCACAGGGTGTGGGGAATGACTTCCACTCCCCTCACCACAAGACTTGACTCCTCTGTCCTCACACACTGGAGCAGATGTCCAGGTGCTCAGTTAGAGTCTCTTGTTCAAACTTGAGAAGAAGGCTGGGCCATTCCCAAGCAGGAACGTACTGGTGACCACAGTGCTCGCAGGCACGCTGCCCAGGTGTGGTGCAGAAAACACTGCACAAAGCACTCACACCTGAAGTAAACACAGTCCCAGCATACAGGTGAAGGAACAGGCTGACAGAGACACCACGACTTCCACAGAACTCAGTGGCAGGACTGAGAAGAGGCCCAAGTTTGGCAGCACGAGCCCACACTTCAGGCTGTGCTTCATACCTTTTTTTTTCCTGCTCCGTGTCGATGTTTTCACCAGGTATGAGTACGACCTTCGAGTCCTTCACCTCTTCCTCTTCCTCCTCCTCACTGGAGAGGGTGACATTCTTGCTGGGCACCCGTTCTGCTGCCAGCATGGGTCTGCTGGGGATTTTGTCATCCAGATCCAGGTCATCTTGGAAACCCGCCACCATGGGGTTCCCCCCGGGCACCTCCCCATCGCTGCAAAACAGACAATGATCAGACACAGCTCCCCCAGGACGTGCTGGGACAGACAGGCCTCCCCTGGAGAGCAGACCATTGCTTGCCTGGCTTTTCTGGCCAACTTATTATAGAATCATAGAATGGTTTTGGTTGGAAGGGACTTTAAAGCTCATCCAGTCCCAACCCCCCTGCCAGCAGCAGGGACACCTTCCACTAGACCAGGTTGCTCAAAGCCTCATCCAGCCTGGCCTTCAACACTTCCAGGGAGGAGCAGCCACAGCTTCTCTGGCCAACCTGGGACACTGGCTCACCACCCTCACACCAAAGAATTTCTTCCTCACGTCTCATCTCCATCTCCCCTCTGCCACTTTCAAGCCATCACCCCTTGTTCTCTCACTCCCTGCCCTTGGCCAAAGTCCTTCCCCAGCTTTCTTGTAGCCCCTTCAGGTACTGGGAGGCCACTAGAAGGTCTCCCCAGAGCCTTCTCTTCTCCAGGCTGAACAGCCCCAACTCTCTCAGCCTGTCCTCACAGCAGAGCTGCTCCAGCCCTCGCATCATCCTGGAGGCCTCCTCTGGACTCGTTGTAACTGGCCCATGTCTTTCTTGTGTTGGGGAAACTTCAGGGTCAACATCCCTCAGGCCGGGGTAGTGGCACTGCCAGCCTTCCCCCTGCCCAGGCTGGACCTGTGCCCTGTGGAGGTGGCACAAGCCCTGCCCAGACAGGCCACAGAAGGATGTGGCACACAGTGGCTGCTACCGCTCAAGCTGAAAAGAAGTGGCTGGAAAAGGTGAGGCTGAGTGGAACAGAGCAGCCTGTTGCTTCAGCTTTATCAGGACATCTCTGGTCCAACATGCAAGGATCAGTCAATTAAACCGTGGGAACTGCCTGGCTTCATCTCCACATCCTGTAATTAAACCTGATCACATACTGCCACTACTATGGGAATTCACTGGCAGCTATTAGCTTCCTGGAATTATTCCTATTTCTCTGGTGCTCCCTGAAGCAGGCAGCTACCCAGACACCATAACTATGTTTTAACATTTCCCAAATTAAATTAACCTAAGGATACACTTTTAGAGCTAGGAGTCTGTCAGACTCCCTGGATGTAACACAGTTATGTGTTCAGAAGCATCTTGATAGAGAGCTTCACAGCTGAAATTACCAAGCTGAGGATTCTCGTCTGAATGTCCCCATGACTCATCAATTTTGATACTTTCTGAAGGATTTGCTCATGTCAGGAATACAGATATTTCCTCCAGCCTTGGCTGATGAGCCTTTGCATCACATTTCCTCACTCTATTTGCTTTATCCGCAACGGATACCCATCTCCTTCCTGATAACCCACCATACACAACAGTCACTGTCCCTTTCATGACTCCATATGGATTGTACAAACACAGTCTTCATTTTTATGCAGAGACAAAAGAAAGTCATTATAGCTTGGAACGGACTACATTTTAGAGGCACAAAAGGAATCACAAAAACCTAAAATCCTTAATCTGGAAGGTGATGGTGTTCCCAGTCACTAGTACACAGTCAGCACTGGCAGGGACAGGGGAGGACGGTGTGCTGATGGGATGGGAAATGCCGAGACCCTCACACAGTCTGGATGATTGTACTACTCACTCTGGCTCTTCTTGTGGTTTGCAAGTTAGTTTTAAAGAATTAGTACATCTGCCAACAGATAATGGAGTTATTTGTGACATGTGGGACCCCCAGGCTTATGAGAACCAGTAGTGCAGGGAGTACAGTCAGTGCCTGTCTGGGTTACAGTGCCAAGATCAGGGCCAACGTCCACTCTCTCCTGCTGCTTTTGGTGCGAATCCCTCTGCTTTCAGGACTCACAGTGCAGCTCCCAGCTAAGCAGAAGCAGGCTGCTGAAGAGCCCCTTCAGCATTAACACTGCTGCTCTCATACCGAGCCAGAAAGGAGGCACACAGCCCATCCCACACAAAGGAGAAGAAAACCAGTGCCTCAACCAGGCTCCAAGGCTGGAGGAATTACAAGTGAGTGATTTCTGAGGTTTGAAAAGCACTGGCAGCGTTTCCTCTTGAAATGAGCCGAAAAGAAAATGGAGCTGCATCCTAAAAATGGCAGGATATCATTCTGAAGTAGTGACACTGCATTCCTTTAACAAGTCACCGCTCTATGAAGCATGAGGACTCTTCAGAGATCGCTGCCACTGTCCTTCTACTACACACCGTACGAGACTTGCAGCCTTTAAAGCATTCCCAGTCCGAACAGAACATCCACGTGTGTACACACCCCCCTCACATAAAGTGGGTCATCTCCCTTTGCAGTGAACACACTGCCTCCATCTAGAACTTCCACATAAATTGTTGAGCGACAGCTTAAGAGCAAAGCGACGGAGTGAGTACGCGTCAGGAAAATCACTGCTGCAGTATAAACAAGGTCTGACAATGCAAAATGAGTATCAGCTTGTGGTCCGGAGGTTCCAGCTGGAAGGAATTCAGAGCACACAAAGACAAGCACATTGCACCACTCTCTCCAACACTTGACGTGCTGCCAAGCCTGAGTTATTGTTGAGCCAACGTGTTTGCAGGTGCAGGTACCCACCAAAAACCGACTGCGCTTGCCAAGGTCTGTATCTGAGCTACTGATGAAAGAGCACACGTCGGGGTTTCCTCAGTGACCCCTCTGTCGTGTACACAGAATGGCTGCTGGTGATGGAACAAATCCTGCTGCAACCTCAGCACACGCTCTCAAATCGTGTTCCACCAGCCCTGCCATGCGGCCAGCCGAGCCAACCCTGCGGGCAGCCAGCAGAATCCTCTTGGCCACATCAGTTTTTGGGGCTAGAGAAAGAGGAGAAATCTTGTGGTGGTTTCACCTGACCAACACTGGGCTGGCAGCCAAACCCAGCCGCTCGCTCACTTCCCCCACCCAGGGGACAGGGGAGAGAACTGGGGGGCAAGGGTAAGGAGACTCATAGGGTGAGAGAACAGCAATTTAATAGTTGAAATAAAAGAAAACTTAAAATAATAATGATAATAATAGTAAGAAAATATACAAATGAGTGACACCCAGTGCCATTGCTCACCACCCGCCCACCAAGCCCGGCCCGTTCCCAGATAACGATCCCGGAGGAGCCACAATTCTGACCCGAAACCGCAATCCCGGGAGAGCCAGAGCCTGAGCCAAAGCCAGAGAGAGCAAGAGAGGAAGAGCCCCTCATGGATCTCCTGCCCATGGGGACAGGAGATGGAACAGCCCCTTGGCAGAGCCCAATGCCCATGGAGCTGATCCATGGCAATATTCCTCCCCCCTGAGATCTTGCACTTGCAGACGGACAAACACAAAGTCCTTCAGTGCCAGGGACACAAATGCAACATGGGGATGTTCTCAGCGTTTCTCTCCTGACAAATCCCAGCTGAACCCAAACCCCAGCGCTGTTCCAGTTGCTGAAGAGAAACCAGCTCTGGCCCAGCTCACACCAGGACAAACCCAAACTCTACTAAAGCACATCAGCTCAGGGAATCACACGCTGCAGGATGAGCCTGTGTGACAATATTCCAGGAGATGGGGTCTTGTAGTACGAATCAGTGTCCTCAGCTTCTCTCTAGAGAGCTGGGTACCACTAGATAAGTAACAGATGCTTAAAAGCAAAGAACCAGTTCAAAGCCCTTCAGATGTAAAGGACAAGGAAATCTAATCAATATTTAAGATAAAGATCTTGTGATGCTGAGAAGACAGAAGAGGAAAACTGTCAGGGACAGCGTCAATTCACTTGCAGACACCTCCAGCCCACCCACGGACCAGGGCCTGACCCAGCAGGGGAGAAGAGAGGAGCCTGTTTGGAGCCAGATTACACCACTCACACACTGGCTCAAGGCATCAGGCTGAAGAGCAGCAAATTAAGTTCTGAAACAGCAAATTGGGAAACTGAACTGCCTTTCTAATTAAGCGGGAAGGAAAGTGATTTGGGGAGTTCTCTTTATTGCAAGCCGGAGAACCGTAACGCATCATTAAACAAAGCCAGGACTCCATTAATCTCCGTCGATCTGCGCTGGGATTTAGCTATAGCAACACCAAAGATGTCAGGAAGTCCTGAAATTCTCGGCAGTTGTCTGATCTCTGGGCAAGAGCAGCCTTGTTCCACAGGCACAAGTGCATTCCTCACTGCCAGCATGCTTCAGGGAAAAAAAAAAGAGGTGTTTCTTCCTAACATCACTGCTCCACGTCAACTCTTGCTCCATTGTTCAGAGACATTATGGAGCAGGGAATGGGAGAAGTTCACATGACATCACAGCAAAGAAAATCAAGAATTCCCTATGTCACTAAAACGCACAAGAAATACCAAACTTTGCAACCTCTTTCTGAAGCTCAGGAAAGAAAACAGAACAAGTTCTTACCCATGGAAGCAAACACACCCCTGAATTCAGGAAGCGGTTCA